CGGGTTTAATTGATGTACTCGAGATCCTCGGCTAAGCCACAACAATGAAAATCGTGTGCTAAAATTCAGCCTCTTTTTGCTTCCCCTGTGGCCATTCTTGAGGCGTGGCATCTTTCCCAAGGCAACCCACCTTCGGGTGACCATGAGACCAGTTGTCAACCACGCTTTCCCACATTTGCAGACTGAATTAAAGGCACCACAATAGGCTACTAGCAACTGGTGAAAATAATGAAGATCCCTCCAAAGAGCGGTCCCCAACTCCGACTCCCTGTCGGCGCGAATCCAGCGAGTTTAGTGACCAAATCGACCCCAGCGAGTCCATCTGCCGCTACCTTTGCCCCACCAATCCCCACGATGCCTCCGCCAGACCTGCTGCTCACGGGCGGGCCTCGACACACCCTTTCAAGGCGGTCCGGTCGGTCGGCCCTCAACTCGCCACTCAAGTCACCCTCTTTGTCCGAATCAAGGCGTATGCATATGATAAGTGTCGCGCATTGTGCAGGTCGTCTCGCCAACGGTGTTGGCCGTGCTAATCCCAAGAGAAGCAATCAGCAAATGGGTCGCTTGTGATGGAGCGCTTCAATTAGGCCGAATAGAATACCAGAGGACGCAGAGAAAATGCACTTAAGAACAAGGAAAATTTGCATTTTCCCACAGCCGGTCTCGGCATATAATCGAATTGGCCTCAATACGAAGCCAAGGGTTTGAGGCATATTGCTTTGCGGATAGCAACGCCTCGTAGTTGGGTTCATGCATCTATTAATTGAAATGCCTTGTCAGAGTAAACTGAGCCGAACAAGACTGTCGACCGATTGGTTGAGTTGAGGAAAATAAAAATTGCTTTCTTATATTTTTCTGTACGAACCCAGACTCGCCCCACATTCTGTGCACCGGTTAGACTCTCCTCCAAAATTTTCGACTGGAAGACAATCTCAATCACGTTGGCAACAGCTCTGTTTGGTGAAACAAGTCTATTTTAGTCACCCTTGATCACGTAGTGAAGGATAGCTTCCACATAAGGATAAATGTTGGAAATCCCACTATCAGTCGATCAGTTCGGGCAGCAAAGGACTAGAGTTCTTAATTAAAATCATCTGAGAGTCTTTAAATCATACTTAATACAAATATGTTATAATTATGTAGAAAAACTTGTGCTCAAATAATACCTTTATAAATTTATGTTGGAATAGCGCGCTTTACGATGATACTTCACAAAAAGCATGATACCCTGTTCTGACAATTTCCATCACATGTCGGACGCAAGCTCAACAAGGATTTATGGC